ATAGGGGGAAACTGCAAAGAACACCCATATGGCGGTAGCTGGCACGTGCAACTCCATCAATTGTATATGATCGTGCTTTCACGCATAGACTTTAGTGGTATCAGGTTTCCTAGAATGTTGAAAAAATTAAGTGTGATGCTTTTTTACGCCCCTCATTGAATTCATGAGTGCTGCTGGCGCCATGCGAAATAAAAAATGCGTATGTTTACCAAGTATGTCGACGCCGAAAAAATCTACTATTTGTGTGTAGTCTAAGGTATTCGATAAAGCAAGACAGTTTGGGAAGCAGAGCTTGTTGTGTTCGTGATAAATTGGTAGTATGAAACAACACGAAACACACATAGAAGAGTGTGGAGCATCTTGCGAGTGCCTAGCGATAAAAAAGAGAGGCTTTTACTCTACACCAATAAAACAAAAAAAAACGTCACTCCAGTATTTCTTGCATCAATCTTAGGTATAAGTAATTGTTCGCGACTGGCCGCGGCCGGATAGGCTCAGCGTGCGTATGCGCGCGAGCAAGACCGCCGTGATTGAGGAGCAACTTGAACACTTAAAGAGGAACCTTGTTCCTTTGGCCTTTGCCGCTAGAGGGCGCGACGAGTGAAGCATTCGAAAGAGAGCAAGTCGCTGCGTTGAAGGAGAAAAGGAGCCCGCTTCCCCATTCTCGCCCCCCCCCCCCTGTGTTTTTAGAGTGCTATAGGCATGGTACACTGTGTTCTCGATAGAAGCACTTGGCTAACTCCGAAGGGATGATACTGCGCTTTTTTTTTGCAATGTGCGTGAACCAGCACAAGTGAAATGAGTGGCCTGAAACAGTATGCAATTATTAGTAAAGTAATTGCAGGTATGAACCCGAAGAATGCGTTTGACTTTGTTTCTGGTCACAACGTCCAATTGATACCTACAGGGCATACAGAACATGCCATCCAATGATCACAGGCAGGCCTTCGTAGTGGCTGTGAAAAGAGCCATAGAAGCTCAATCTCACCTCATCGTCGTTCTTTGAAGGGTCTTGGATAAAGTATTAAGAAATTAGATATGGTATTAGAAAATTCGAGCGTTCCATTAAAGTAGCAGTGACATCAAATTTGAAACTCGAGTTGTGGCGTTCATGAATTGCTCGGTATGGATGAGCTTTTAGAGCGAAGTACGAATCACGTACGTTACGTAGAAGGGAGGAAGGAATAAACGTTTATTTCAGAAACAGTGTAGCGGTGTAGGTTCTGCGTTCACCTTGGGTGGGAGGTGGAAGCTGTTCTATTTCGAGCGCGAAGAGCGTCCAAGGCTCATCGGCTCTTCCGGGTCATGAGACGTCGGCAGTATTTCGACGTGTTCTGCAAGCTCCTAGGCCACGTCTCCGGCACCAAGAGATGTTGAGCAATCAGTGCTGACGCCGACAATTTTAGTGTTGTCGTTGCGGTGTCTACATGTAGTACCGTCTAGCGGCAACGCGTGGTAGCCAAGCGGTGGCTTCTTTTGCTTCGTGCCGCGCTTTCCTGTGAATCCTGCGTTTTCGCTGCGTTCCTTCGCGTTATTTGTGGTGGAGTTGCGAGTACGGATGTAAATAGTTGAAGCTATATACTGTCCTCACAAGCAGGCTACACGCACGCAGCGTTAATATATATTTTACCAGCCAGCGGGGCCCAAGCGTGCGTCTTCAGCTGCCTCGTCGCTTCTCGGTCCGGCATCGATTTCAGAATCGCTGCTCAAAAGAGGAACGAACCGAAAATGATTCGCCACACTGCGAATTACCACAGTTCCATTATGGTTCCATATTCCTTAGTGTCTTCCTCGTCGCTCGTGGACGCTGATGACGGTGGCGATGACGATGGGGGTGACGAATATATGCCTGCACACGTGCGCGCCGAGTATACGAATAGTTAAACAAAAATTGCTTCACCATTTTGTATGGCCATGGGATCAGATGGTGTGGGACCATGGAATGTGACCACTTGGCAGTGCTGAATATTGGCGGCATTTGAACCCGTTTTGAATTAGGCTCGATACTGGTCGTACTACTCTATATTTCACCTACTAATTTGTCGCTCTGGTGCATTATTCGTACCGAATCGTTGCTAGAGGATTGATAACTACGCGTTGACGCAAAAAACGCAACATGCGTCAGGTTGATGTCAACGCTCGTGCAATGATGTACTAGGCATGCATGGGATCACTCGTTACAGAAAACAAGCCTGCTCAGCGTTTTTCTGTTCACCGATACTGCCCCCCCCCCCCTTGCTGTCACTCGGAGTGGAAGGAAGTTTACCAAACACAAGTCACATAATGAAAATCACTACACAAAAAGAAACGCCAGGCCTGCGCGGAACGCGCAGCATGTCACAACGAAATTTCGAAGAGTGGCCTTTCAGAGTCTTTTTCTGAATACTCATCGAGTAACTGCTACAAGTACACTAGCGGAGTACCTACTATGCCATAAACAATCATAATACTTGTGTTGTAGGCGGGCTTGGCCTACGCTATCCTTCATCATTCTTCGGAGAAGCGTGGTATCCACTACACAGTTGCTAGGAATATTGTGCAATATTTTAAGCATTGGCTGACGACAATGAATATTCGTGCCTGAAGTTGGTGTGCAGAATAAAAAGACGACGACAAAGCGTCAGGTGCTTGTCGAGCTCCTTTCTGAAGAAGAACGATCTCCGTGAGACCTGGTCGACAAGCGGCAGGATTGCATTTGAGTTTAACGTTTGCTTGTTTGTGGTTTTGAGTTATATTTTGGAAGTTGTTTGTGCTAATTGATTTTCTGAGTTCAAGCGACTCAGGCTATCTCGATGTCGGTTGGTTCACCTTGCCAAGGGTCTTCTCCTTGGCTAGCTTCTATACCGTCCAAGGATTGGTCGATTGATTCATTTCTATGCAGTGGGGTTATCAACGTCCCTGTGGCTCTGGTACTGATTAATGCAGGTACCGTACCGATGAAGGATCCGATGGTGATTCAAATGAAGCTTAGAAAAGTCACATCACACTTTCAAAAGATCACCGAGGTCCGGCATTTCGGTCGTCTTGGTATTTTTCGCTGCTGTGCCGATCAGGAGTGCGTCCGAGAACTTCTCAATTGCTCCGAGTTTACAACGCACCCGGTGAGACCGTTTATTCAAGCGCATCTTGCATGTTCGAAAGGAATAATTCGCGGTGTATATACAAGCCTGACCCCTGCAGAAGTTCTGGAATTATTTTCGGTAGAAGGTGCAGGGTCAGTATACAGTTGCACGGGTCTGTTTGCCAACAAGTTATCACCTCCCGAGTTGGTGATATATACCTTTGCGGCAACGGTAAGACCATCTGAAATTAAGGCTTGGTCACTTATCTGTAAGGTAGAGCCTCTATTCCCTAAGCAACTGCAGTGCTTGAATTGTTGGAGATATGGCCACAGCGCAAAAGGGTGCAGTTCAATTGCTAGATGTCGCATATGCGGAAAAACTCGTGACTGCAATAAGTTCAACTCTGCGGAAGCAAAGTGCTGTTTATGACATGAAGCGCATCCTGCAGGCTCTATAGATTGTGAGGCAAAGAAACGAGAACTTAGGCTATTGGAAATTGCAGAACGCAGGCGTTGCGCCCGGAGGGAAGCTGTGACGGAATTACGAGAACGTTTGAAAGCCTGCGCACGCGTAACAGCGCGGCATACCGGTGCTACGGAGGCATCATTAGCAAAATCTATAGCAGACACCGTAGAGAAGGCTACGGAACAGGCGATGGAGCGTCTTGCCAACAATATTATTGTTGCCGTGGCAGAAATGTTAATATCTCAGTTGACCCAAATCCTTGCTTCATTGTCTATGAAAAATCAGACTTCCCAGGATTTAGTGGTTTGAAGAAGTGCAACGGCAGAAAGCCCGATAGCTTCCTACACGATGTGCATCTCCTCAAGCAGGACTCTCCAAACAGATAATGCGGGCAGATCCAGAACCTATACCGGATGATTCTGCCGAGCTCAAAGATATGGACGCCGAATCTCAAAATTCCTTGAAGCCTGCCAGATCTCCCCTCTCGAAAAAGTCTTCAAAGAAATCAAAATCTGAAAGTACTTGTCAAAGAAAGACCTCTTTGAAAACTTCTCCAAAAAGACTTTTTTATGAAAGATATCTTGGATCAAGCAGTCCCTGCGACCCGTTTATAGAGTTAAAAGAGGCTCCCTAAATGTATTACAGTGGAATTGTCGATCAATAGGGTCAGCAACAATAGAGTTATCATATATTTTTTCGCCAATTTTCCCAGATATCATTACTTTACAAGAAAGCTGGCTTACAAATGAACAAAAGTTTTACCTAAAACTTATCGCTTATTTTGTTTAGATAAACTTCGCAGAGAGGGTGGACTTGCCGTTTTTATATCAACGAAATTCAGTCATAGAACGAAGATTAACTGCCTGTGTATGGAAACTAACTACGAACTTATCTACGCTTGTGCGAATAGTGAATTTTTGGTTTGAAGCGAGTAGTGATTTTGATCGAATAATTTCGTATTGAATTCGAATGGTATGTATATATGACATACAAAAAAAAAGGGAATATTTATCATGGCCCAACTAACCTGCACAATATTTCTTTTGAATTGAAATAGGCCTGGACTATATGCAAAGAACATTTATTTTTTCGTTCAAAGAAGTCGAAACAACCTTGAGTAGTAGTTTCGATAGGAAGCGAGTAATAACCTGTAAGATACCTAATGCTTTAAAATTTATAATACTTGGATCATAGAAGCCGTCATAACAAGCTTAATAAAATGAATTGATTTGAGGGTAACATGTTCCTTTAAAGAGGCCCTTCAACGCTTTATCAAGTAGCCATTGAGCCAGTAAATATGCTTGTTGCCTCAAAAATTTACTGCCGCAAAGTTTCTAGAATCAGTGCAATACGAGCGCAGTTCCAAAAATTTGTCGCACGCTGCAATTGCATTCTCTCTTCACGTCCCGACGAAATAGCTGGAAGCTAAGTAGCGAGGAATGGCACAGCGAAAGAAAAATACTCCACACACACCTCGTGACCTTGAGCACCTCTCTTTTTTTTTGTTGAATACGCCGCTTTTCGGTGTGATCGCGCACGTACTCCTTGACAAGCGGCGGCCCCGGTAACGACAAGCGCACCATGCTCAAATCTGCCAATGCCTGTGACCACAGCCGTATATTTCTTCTCCGCTGTGACAAGTTATTTTTGAGCTTGTATTGTCATCTGAAAAGGAAAGAAAGCAATTTGTAGCTTTATAAATTTATTTTGAATTACAGGCCTCGCGCTGCGCTACAACATTTGCCTTGCATATTTTCGGTAGCCTTGACTACCGATCGACCGATTGTTCTGACCATGTTCAGTAAGTTTGGCAGGGCCTCTGCAAATTTGAAGGGGGAGCCTCACGGCAAAGCGAATTTTTGAGTAAATGTTTTTACTGTTCAGCAAGGTTGCAATGCGGTGAAACCATACCTACAAGCGGTATCATGCGGGTTAATATACACCTATTCGTTCATTACGAATACTTCCAAAATATTCTATAATATATAATCGAATCTAATTCGAATACTCAACTATTCGTTCGAATATCCGAAGCGTTCGACCATTCGCACAAGCCAAAAAATATGTTATTAGACATGACTCTGCCAGGCTGTTCCCCTTTTTCTTTTGTTAATGCATACTTTCCGGCAGGAGTACAGGGCACAAGATGGTTAGATGCGATTTTAGCTTCCTGCAGGACAAATGTAATATTAACTGGGGACTTCGATTCACACTACATGTCTTAGGGTTGCAAGAATGAAGAACCATCTGATATGCCATTGCCCTCGATTTGCCTCTGAAAGATAGAAGCTTTCGGACGCATTGCGAGAATTGGACGAACGGCCACTCTCTGTGCAGATGCTACTGGAACACCGTCATCGCCTTTCGTCGGCTAAAAAAGCAGTCAAAGCTGTCTTGTGCTTTTTGAGGACTACAGGCCTACGTGACCACCTTTAACTTTTGTGTAGTGCCACCACTGCATACGCACCAGCCGAGTGACTGACAATCCTCCTTTTTTGTATTTTCTCCCTCTCTTTCTCTTCTCTTTCCTCTCTCTCTCTCATCTTTATGCCCCCTTCCCATTTCCCCAGCGTAGGGTAGCAAACCGGGCATATGCCTGGTTAACCTCCCTGCTTTCCTTCTTGTTGTTTATCCCTCCCCCCCTCACGAATGATGTAAGTGAAAGGTGCTTGTGCGATTGGACTGTTGATAATCAATTATCTTGAGTTAATTTTCCCACTGTTACGTTTGTCAGGGGAAAGTCTAAGTCGGCTATAGATCTCACTTTCTCCAGCTTCTTACTAAAATATTTCGTGGAAAACTTTAGGTTGAGCAAGAAACAGTGATGACCTTCCTATTAGTTTTGATGTTAACTTTCCCAGGATATCTTTAACTGACAAAGCTAGCTCATTTGTAAATTATGACTGAATACAAAAAAAAACTTAGTCTATTTTTATTCTTCGCAATGACATGCAGGAAAACATTCGGCCTATGAGTCTGTGTGTGGTAATGAAAAGAGCAATAAAAAAGTCAACATTTACAATAACCTCAGGAACAGGAGGATATTTTAGCCCATGGTGGAACGCTGAATGTATAAAGATGTATAGAAAACGAAAAGTGGCTTGGAAGCAACTTATTCACAACCAATGCCCAAAAAACTGGTGCGACTATAAATACATGGCAGCGGATTTTAAACATAAAGTACGCAAAGAAACGATTACTATGACACTAGAAAATTCAGCTATTTTATAAATCATACAATAGAAAAGCGCATTTTAGATTTTCGCGCTCCAGAAAAAAAGACACCGCCATCAGACAATATTGATTCTTCAATTTTATTACCTCGAGAACTCACTGAATTATTAGAAAATGTTGCTAAATGATAAGAAGATATATTCATATCAGTAATGCAAAACACATAGTAAAGCCAATTGCAAGGGAGGAGTTCAGTGAAGTGACTTTAGCGGAATTAACGGATGTAGTGAGGCACTTACCTCAGGCTGCACCTGCACCAGATGGGATAACCTCAGCAATGATAAAAGTACTATACGACATTTCCCCTCATGAACTCTGTAACATGGTTAATTATTCTTTGAAAAATAATGGGATATCTGTGAATTGGAAAAGTTTCAAAATTATTCTTATACTTAAAAAACAGGAACTTGTGCTTACCCTTGACATTGTAAGGCTACTTTCTATTACATCTATTTGGTTGAACTCATCGAAGAAGTGTTGAACGCACGTATAATGAAATACATTGAAGAGAAGTCAACACTGAACTGAACCATAGGCAAATTGGCTTTAGATAGGGATGTTCCATCTGGTGTGCGCCCGTAGAGTTAGAGAGTCGTATTCAGTTGGCTCGGCGTAGAATAGAGTATTGTGCATTATTTAATCTAGATCTGGCAAAGGCGTACGACAAAGTAGAGCATAAATTACGAATACAGCCGATGGAAATGTATTGCCTACCAAAGTGCATGACAGCATGGGTAGCAGAGTTTTAAGGGAGAGAGAGTACTATTGCGCTCAAAGGGGTTGTTTTTTCAACAGATATCAGCAATACCGTGGCGTACCACAGGGGGCAGTGCTCTCACTGGTGTTGTTTAACATCTTCCTCAGCTCGATTGCAACACATAGGAATATTCATTTATATATGTATGCAGATTACATTGCCTTCTTTGCGACAAACGGTGATCTGCAATTACTTTATCAGACATTACAGAATTATCTAAACATGATAGAGGAATGGTTTGAAAAGATTCAAATGTCTCTAAACGAAAGCAAAAGCACGCTTCTAGCGTTTTCGTTCCAGGATCGTGTCAACAACTCTTTGATGAATGGCAGAGAGCCGATTCCCCAGGTGGATTCACTCAAACACTTAGGCATCATATATAACAGCCCATTAAATTGGAAAAGTCACATTGACCAATTGGGTCCAAGGCAACACAAGCCGTGGGGTGGTTACACAAGCTCAGCAATAGAAAAATGGGGTTGCGAATAGATACATTGGTAATGATTTATAAGATATACATGCGTCCTATCATGAAATTTGGCTGTGCGTTATTTTCTGGGAGTGCGACTGATGAATTCAAACCGCTAATGCTGTTAGAAAGAAAAGCTTTACGATGTTTCCTTGACTGCCCAAGTTTGTTGCTAACAATGTGCTCTACATGGGAGCGCATCTACCTTCATTGTTAAATAGATTCAAAATACTTACTATTAAAACATTTTTAAAACTATACACTTCGCCCCAGAGAGATTCATTTTATGCTTTTATTAAAAGCCCAGCTTATTTTTTCGAAGCTCAGTGGTCGTGATTCCACTCCCCATAAATCACAGTCATTCGAGCGCTGCTGGAACCACTGGACGTCAGAACTAAACTTATTTCCTCTACAAGTAACTTTATATTGGACAATCAAATAAGATTTGAGAATATTTACTCCCCTAACGCGTAGCAAATGCTATTCCAATATTTAAATGATCGGCTACAGGATTGCCACTGATGCATCCGTGTCAAATAAAAAGATTGGGGCAGTATCTTCTCGCGTTCCCTTGACTAGTCCTTTTCGGTTAGGCTTCCAGAATACGCACCAACATTCATAGTAGAATTATTTGCTGTTGTACTGGCCCTGTGAAAACTTCCTTCGGACGAATCAGAAGAAGTCGTAATTACAGACTCTTTTTCAGTATGTGCTGCTCTGTCTTCGGGAGCCAACTTAACACTTATGCATATGTTTCGACTACTCATACCGACAAACTTGCTAAAACTTCAGTTGTTATGGGTACCAAACATTCGTGGCAGATACCTTATTTAGATGGCAGATGCACGAGTCACAGTATCTCTTATCGGTCCCCTTATCCCGATTTTGCCTGATACGGCTTACGGAACAGCGATAAAGTTTAGAAACCTTTGTTTGCATAATTAAATCAACACATTCTTATTGGATTAATTTCGATATGTCACACGGCTAAGATGCTGCTGGAATAGACAGTGGTGGGTAACACTATAAATGGAAGTTACCTTAACCAGGATTGCGTTGTAGAAATCCACAAATAATCTATTATTTACATAAAGCTGGCCTAAAGGCGTCACCGTTATGTCAGGTTTTCGAAGAAATGAGAACAATAAATCTTTTTTTTATTTTTTTGCGGATATTCTTATCAGCGGAAAAGATACCAGGTAGCTCCGCTTGAAAAATTGGGATTAGAATAAAATGCGGCAGTAATTTTATCGTTTGGGAGCATTAAATTAGGTTATAGACACAGGGACGTCTGCTTTGCGGCATTTGACTACATAATTGAAACAAAGCGATTGCCATGTAGTGTACATTTTTGTTACTTATATCTTTCGTTTTGGACCCATCACTACCTCTGTATCAAAACACATCTGATAGCCTGCATCTTTTTTTAGATAAACTCCTGTTTTTAATAATTGGCTTATATATATAATATAAATATATAACTTATTTCAGTCTGAAGTTACTTTCTTTTTGTAAAACTATAAGCCTTTACCTTTCTGTCGATGCTGCCACCCAGTTCTTGGTCGATCCCCCTTTGTGGGTGTGCGCCAGTAATGTAAGGATAATCATCACCATGCACCACAGTTAATAGATGAACAAGAACAAGCTTTTGTAATGGGTACGATCTTTTGACTACTCGCTATTTACGCCATTCCCATTGCGTGAGGCTTGGCTGTTCCTTTGATGTCCTAAAACGCTTTATTACTCACATTAGCACGATTCCTTTCCCGGCATCAAGCCTGCCTGAAGCTGGTTTTGGAATGAATTTTATGCGGTGGTGTGGCTCAGCGGTAGAATATTGGGCTAGCACGCAGCGGTCCCGGATTGAAGAGCAATGTATTCTTGTTGTTTTTAATACACCGAGTTTTTTTTTCACCCCTATTTCTTGCAATATTGGTTACGGACAACAGCGGTGGCGGCAGTGGACAATGACGGCACCACATGTGACCTCGTTCTGATCTCACGACAGCTTTCGCTGCAATATTACGCAAATACACAGGGTTATTAAAGTGCACGGCACAGCTTGCTGGTGTGTCTCACGATTGCGACCAAAAAGTTGGCGTGTTACATTACGAAACAACGAAAGTTTTCTGAATACTGACCCTTTCAACCCGGCTAGTCTCGCTTCGTTAAATAGTTTACGACAAGACTACCGCTTTTAATGCACCTTAAACCGCGTAGCATCAGGGGAGTGAAAGAACAGTACAACAAACAAAACAACTAAAGTGACTCAATAGAGGAACTATGTTTCGCAAGAGGCCGGCAAGACGACCCAGCGTTTCTAGCATTAGGGCAAAAGAAAATACCACTTTTAGAATTTCGAGTTTTGAACAAACACACAAACGCGCACAGGGGGTCGAATTTCGTTGTAGCAGGCGACGCACAACAGCAGAGGCCAGGGTGAATGCCGGAGGCGTCCGAGGGTCCTCGCGCGTGTGATAATACGGCGTGGAGCGAGAACGTGACATGAAATTCAATAACGCTTCCACCGAGAAGAGATCGGACTGGGCAGAGAAAAAAATGAAATATACATAAGTAAACCACAGCCTTCTAACGCAACGCTCACGCTTTAGAGAACGGAAACTATGCGGAGCGAACGCGGCCGCGTCGGCATAGCGCCCTGCGGCATGTCAGAGGACAGCTCGGGAGACTGGGAGAAAAGAGGATGGGATTGGGGAGAATGAGGCGGCAGCACGGTAAGCCATGCAAAGCATAACAACGAAATGGCCGACCACGCGACGAGTCCAGAGACACCACGCATCGAGAAAAGAAAGCGTACGCGTTGGGAGCTGCCGGCTTGGATGAACTCCAGGCACTCGGTTTAACCGGGAATGTGGAAAATGGTACTTTGCTTTATGTACTACAAGCTACCAGCACACAATCGTATCGAGGTCAAAAAAGATAGAGCACACAATCTTACTCACTATGAGTGTCCGCTAGCAGTTTTCAGTACCTCACCACCAAGCCAAAGCTTTTATTACTTTGCTTTGTGTACGCTGTACGCATTCCGAGAAAAGGCATCGAAACCAGAGTTGACGGAAAAGTTCAGAGATGCAAAAGGTAGGGCAAACTCACAAATGCATGTTAAAGCCTACCACGCTAAATGATCGGGACGTGCATCATTTATTCAAAACATGTGATTTTACTTTACTATTATGGTCGTGAAAGCCATTTACTGATAAGAGCGCCCAATAATGCTCAGTTTTAAGAGATCCTACTCCCTATGCAGAGTAGAGCTGCGAAGTTGGTTCAAATGGGAAATAAGTATTACGCGCAATATAAAGATACTTTAAATGCAGAAAGCCTTAGGATATACACGGCAGCAGCATTTAGATGGGGGCAAAATACAAATAACGCTCACATGCGTAGATTTTGGTTGGCGTTAAGGAACCACGGGAATGCAACCTGGTCTTTACTACAGCTTGATTTGAGATCATATTGTAGCTTGTTGTATCTAAAATCGAGGCGAGCATAGCAAACTCAAAGGGACACTAAGGAGCAAACAATGAGTACCACCTTTACCGCGTAACGAGGCTTTGTAAGTGAGATAAAACACTTAAAGAAAAGGCGGGCGCACACGCCAGCTTGAGATTCCCGCACTACTCGGCCGTTACGCAAAGACTTGTGAAGGCTTTTACTGGGTCGTATACGTAGTTTTTATTCGATAAAAATGAACTGCATTGTTTTCTGTAGGTGTCAGAGACGCAGCATACAAAGTTGGCAATAAATTTCGTGAAGTAAATGTCACGAAAACAACATAAATACTTTTGAAGCTTCTGATTTCACGCGTGGAGATTTTGGCGCGAAATCTGAAATCAATTTTATATTTTGAATTTCTCTGCTGATAACGAACCTATTCATATACACCCTAAAAACCCATTCTGGCATTACATAGGGGGCTTTTAGTTGTACAATAAATTTGCAAATCAAAACATTGTTATGATATAATGAAAGTGGTAACCAAAGTAAAATACAGTTCTACAGAAAAAATATGCAGAAGGGGGAAAATCGAAAAATGAATGAACACTGAAGACATGGATACATAAAATGAAGACATGAATATAAATATATGGCAACACAGTTCACAGAGTGCAGTTTGTCAATCTAAACCAAGTCATTCTTCCTTTTTGGTGCCCCTTTCAGACCCACTCGTGAACGGGCTACTCGATACATGATAGTTTGTGACAGCGGACACAAAAACAAGGCCTACAGAAATATGGACGCAGAAGTAACTTCTATGTTCATCTATATCTATGAACATGATGGTGATGTGTATTTTCGTGATTTTTTTGTCTTTTTTGTCTTTGTTTTTAGGCGTGGTAGCATACGCAATTATACATACCATTTACAATGATTACGAAGGATACCCACAGCTAGCACTTCTCTTTAACAGTTTTAGATAGACTATCGTCGTTGCTATTTCCTGGGAAAAGAATGCACGCCCACGAACTCTCCGAATCACTGCAGGCTTTCCGACATCCGCTATTTCTTTGCGTTCATTTGTAGTCGCTGCGTACTGCGTTCCGCGCACTGGATCACCCGTTTCAAAACAAGGCGGGAAAGGCTGTCACACTATTTGGCGTGCATACGGTGACTGGAGACAGATGAATTCGCCGAGTCATTTCCAAACTTTTCTCAGCTACGACGCACCATAGTACAGCCACATTTCCTTGATTTCTTCCGTAGCTCTTCTAAACCAATTCGCAAAAAGTGTCCCGATTCTTCAGAACGGACATTTTCCTTATATGGCCTTGAACTTACCTAGGTTACGTAATCCACTCTCCACGTCGACAAGCATCACTATACAGCAGCGCACACACCCAATTCTTAGCAACAAGTATCTCACAATGCAGACGTGACCCACTTTCGGGCCACCGTCAATAAAGCTCTTATCAGTTCCACTCGACCTTTAAAATATGGCGGTTAACGGCTTGCCGACCCGTCGCCAGCGCGATTGCGTCGGGATGTTTCTTCATTCTGAATTATCAGTCACTCCTTGTTTGCCCATGCCTTATCTATTCTCGGACAACTTCGAAAGCTCGTCGGGGGATTAGCTACTTTATCGAAGAATTCTATCTTGCTCTCTTTTTTATTGTCAGTAACTTTCCTGGAAGCCAGCGCGATTTCGTTTTTCATGCGCTTTTTTAGCATCGAAAAACACTGTACGTAGTGCACGTTGGGAACATTTCGCGAACACTTAAGAAGAAAAGAAATACGACAAATGTTCAGTAAGAAGCTTTGCGTACCTTAAGTGCATTATGTGAATATTATGTTGTTTCAATATTGCACAACATGCAAAGCAAGCTTCTCACAATAGAAGTGTTATCTATAAATTATGCACATTAGTTCCTTACAACAACGTTAGCAGCCGACCCACGTGTAGGGTAGGACACCCGTTATTCTGGATTGTTTAATCTACTTACCTTTTTTTCTGTACCAGTTTTTGCACCATTTCTTCTCTCCTTCTCTCTAATAACCGCAAACAGTATGCGTAACATGCGACACCGTGAAGTCTTGAGTGAAGCGACTGCGAGGTTTTACAAAACTCAAAACAGAGACATTTGTCAGGATAAGGTCGTGTATGTTTTATTATCTTTCAAAAGACACCCAACATTTTTTTTTTCACATCCGTTGCATAAAGAGGGCAAGTGACAAAGAAAAGCCCCGGAAACGTCTTCTTCCGGCAAGCCGTCGGCTTTCCTGTCGACCTTCGAAAGGAATTCGATATGCGCTACAATAACGTTATCTCACGTACAAGAACACATTGATTCAGGACGCCGCAGTGCTGTAACCTCTCCAACACTAGTCTATCCCACTCGCGATTCCTTGTACAAAGTGACGTAATCGGACACGGGTATGCCTGCTTTCTGATTTGAATAGCAGCCCAACAAGGCTTGTGAAAAATTACACAAGGTGGTGCGAATGCAATAGAACTACACGAGACGATGGGTATAAATCGACCACGCTTTCGCTGGGACCCTAGCGTTTGGCTGTTGTTTCCAGAGGTAACAAGCCCGGCTGAAAAGTAATTAGCCGTTCTTCACAATCACGTATAAAACGGAGTATCATTGCCACTAAGTATTTTACAGCAGGTGCTCAGTACGTATTCGTCAAATGCGATATCAGCGGAAGCAGCGTTTTAAAGTGAAATGATGGCAGTTCCAAACGCGCTTTTTGATAATCAAAATAAAATTTTACAATATGTGCATGTGCGTTATGATTGTGATATATTTAAGTAGTGAACCATTAGTTCAATAACACTAACCGCAAAGCAGGGTGTGGACTCTGCAAATGTGTAGTGTACGCAATATTTTTCCAATAAGAGTCCACTGCCAACATAACCTAAACACATTAAAAAAAGCACTATACTTAGAGGTGCATCAGGCGATAAGAAACAGAAAGTTAGGTCTGCACTGAAACAAGAAAGTGTGCGCACTTCAAAGCACTTATAAACACACAGAGCACACAAAGGTCTCACCTGCCGAATTCGCGCAATGTCGCTATGGTGGCTTACTTTGAGTCACTCGCACGTGCGCAACGTACCCGTATCGCACCTGGATGACACGTGTACCCGACACTAAAATATTACCACTGCTAAGATGCCCACACCTGGTAGAGAAAAAAAAGTGACTGCAAACTGCTAACCAGAACGCTATAACGTTGGAGCAAAATAACTTAGCGAGATTCTTTCTCTTTAAACGTTGTTTTGGCGCTCTGAATCCTCAGTTTTGCTCTTTTTATTGTTGAACATGTGATTTGTGCATTTCTGTTCATAGGCCAAATTATCAAGATCGCTGTTTCAGCCTGTTATGAAATATATGTTTCACAATCCTGAACTACATTTTGCAACTACTTCTGGCCATGCACTAAACTGCTCATAAAATTGAGGTGGCAGCCATAACCATTACAAACTTTTTATCCGTCGGAGAAGATTCACAGTAATTCTTCAATGAAGACTACGATCATACGACCAGTATTGGGAAGGGAAATACGAGACAAGCAGTGTCGTTTTCGCCGATACAGCAGGATAAATATAATAAATATTGTTCACTTTAAAGCATCAACTTTCCGGCTTTTTTTAGGGGCAATGACACAAAAAGCTCTCAGCAGTGCGGGTACCAATAGATGTAACAAATATATCATCATTAATAAAAGGGTACACGACTTTCCAACATGAACGTCTGCATGGAAATCCAAGTCGGATTCTACTGCAACTCAGATATAAGTAGATATGCCAAAGTGTTCGAATGTTCGAAACAGTGCATACTGCAACTGATATCAACATAAAGCTTTCGAAAATACTGCTACGTGAAGGAAACTAATGATGTGATGTCAGTACCAAACTCATGGGTAAGTTAAATGGATGCAGTGATGAAGCACACGAGGTCATCCCTATAGTATAATCATGTAAAACGAACGCCACACCACTTGTGCGGAAACGTAGAGCAGCAATGGTGGCATTTCTAGAGGCTGAAATATAGTGAGATATCTGCAGATTGCATACTATGTAACAGTGCATCCGAACAGTCATTCTTAATCACTGAAACGAGAGTTCCTAAATTTCTATGATATGACGCAAAAAACGTAATTCAGATTGGGGTGTAGAAATACACCAGGCTATTTTCAACATGATTTATTTAGGGGTCCTGAAACACTTTTTTCAAGTAACCACGGAATGGATTCACTACGAAAACTTATCGCCTCATAAAATCAACGCCGCAAAAATTTCGAGAATCCATCTAGTACGAGCGGAGTTACGAAGATTCGTCGCACGCTACAAACGCTTTCTCTCTTTTTTTTGTCCCGACAAAAACACTGGAAGCTAAACTAAGATAAATGGCAGGAGTAAAAAAAAAACCGTCATGGGCGCTTTGTGAATTCCAGCATTCTTTCCTTTTTTTTTCTGAGAATGCATGGCTTTTTCAGTATGATCGCGCGCGTCGACAACTCGCGGCCTCCCGCGGCGATCCCTGTAACGACCGGGCACGTCATGTTCAAATCAGCCAATGGCTGTTAGATGGCCTTCTACGAGTGATTTTGGAGCGCCTCCCGTCATTTATCAAGAGGCGACAAGGCAATTTCTAGACGACTTTGGTAATTTATTTTGAATTGCAATGCACGTGCTGACATTTTATTTAGCTTGCGTGTCTCGAGAGCCCCTTATACTGATCAGCAGCGCTTCCTGATTATGCTCAAAAAGTGTTACAGGGCCCCGGCAACGTCAATTCTAATTATTTTTAGTATCAAATACTACACAACACTTGCAATACTGCGCAGCAGATGTGATGTCTTTTCGCTGAAACTGCTGCTTGTGTCGCGTCAAACAACTCGCCGTCTTCCTTGGCACTGTGGTTCCCCATTCCCTATGAAGAACACACTTATAAACAACAATCACTTATAACTACGAAATTCTCACTTAAGCACTGTATTAAAATCGCAATCCAGGCACATTACATTTCTGCTCCCAAATGTGGCCACTGCTACGTACCCTTGACAAGTATTCACATAACTAGTGCTCAAATGCTCCATTCACGTGCGGTCCACACCCACTGATACAATGTTTACGGCTGTGCGTAATCGGTGCAACGCGTCTCTGTCGAGCATTTTGGCGGGTGGTCCTCCGAAAATTGGCTGCCAAGTTCATTCTTCCATGCTAGCAGTTCCAGTACTCGAACACTTCCAGGGCCGCGAAGAGATGCGGTTACTGTACAGGCGGGCAACCTGAACCGATCCCTGTAAAATAATTTCGGAAGCGTTTCACAATTATAAGCACAGTTTTTATCAGCCACATGTGTTAATTGGTGTGCTTTTACAGATTGAAAGCAAAGTCACAAAGTGATGCTTGTATTCTCAATTTGCAACGCCAATTATATTAGACTAAACCATACAATACGCCACACAAAACACCAAAGAGGTATAAGGTTCATATTTTCGAAATATTTTCAAAACGTACTGTTTTATGGTACACTGGAAGCGGCAAGCACAACGAAAGTATTAAAAGCATAATTAAGTACAATGAACTGAAAACACAGTTAAAAGAACAATATACCTGCAATACAGAGGCACGAGGTAATGACCCCAACTGCTTCCTGCAATTTAAGTTAAATGTGCGACGACAGTTTTAAACCCGCTGAGCCGATGCTGTCAGATTAAAACGCTCAGGAGAGGAACAACACTACTTGAAAACGGCTTGCGTGAAAACCACACAAGTGTGAAAAGCACATTAGTTGAAAACAGAAAATTGTTTTATACGGAGCACATATGTCATTTTGAATGGTATAAATATGTTATCAACCTACAACATATGCAACCCTTTTGTGCCTCCACAGATCGCGGGATCGAATCCTGGCTGCAGCAGCTGCATTTTCGATGGAAGCAAAAATGTTGAGGCCCATGGGCTCAGATTTGGGTGCACGTTTAAACCACAGGTGGTCGAAATTTCCGGAGCCCTCCACTGCGGCGTCGCTCATAATCATATAGTGTGTTCAGGATGTTAAACCCTAGATATCAATTAACCCTTTCGTGCCTGCCATTTTCATTGCGTTGGAAGTTTTCACTTCTATTACGTCTAATACGTAGCTAAACAGAGAGTCTGGCACTACACCACTAAAAAAATTTTTTTCTGTGGCAACTTTTTTAACAAAAGGCTTTGCACTGTACACTGTTTAGAACATAAATTCTGTGGTCAGTTAGCAGAAATAAGAGGCTACAGGGAGAGAATATGCTTGCAGGTAGACAATGAAGTATCAACTGCACGCTTTGCAGAAATGCAAGAGGTCAAAATTTCTCTCATGTCACTAAAATGTTCAAACTGCTTACAAGCGACGATTGCTTGAGCATTAATCAGTGACTTATCCCCCTGTCACACAACAAATCTAATGTCATTTACAACGAGTGGCATTAAGCAGACATAATGCCTTTTAAAGACGATAGTCTTTTGGGGGGACCTTCAACATAAATTTTGGTCGGTCGGTCTGTCTGTCTGTACATTTGTCAGTTTGTTTACTCTCACCGGCATCGGGTACTTGAAACGGCCTATCCCATCCGCAGCGCCCACCAGTGTTGCTCAAGATTCAGCGCTTATACTTGTGCAATTGTCAATCAAAAAGCAATTAGTGCGCATGTCTGGGGCACCATAACAACACGTATATATTCTGAATGTGCGTCTTACTAGAAAAGGCATACATAATTAATTTGAAGGGCCGTTACGCTTATCACTCTGCGCTTACCATGCAACGATTGCACGAATGAGCAAGTGTTTCAAATGCTTTGCTAAGACGCGACAGTGGTGGCACCTAATCGTTGCCTTGCGTTCTACATCTTATTACCTCTGAGACGGCCGCGCACATTCGTCTCAGAGCCGCGCGCTTTGTTTTCCTAAAAACTGCCAGATGGCACTCATGTCTCACGTGTGACGTGATTTGATGCGTCCGTTCGCCTCCGCTGCACGCTCGAGGCACTTTAAAGCAGCGCCTCCAGAATCACATTAACCGATTTTCTTGCGCAGAACATCAAATAAATGCTTTGTTCACTCTCTGCGCACGCAAGACTATCGTCTTTCGACGACATTTGCTAATTATTATGCAGATGCGGGGTCAATTTTTACCTGCATGCTGTCTGTGACACGGCGAAAACGAATGTCATCTTGGAATTATGACCATGACCGTAGCCATTCTGAGTCGTGGATTTTGGGAAAAATAAAAGCGTACAATAGCTTGAATGTTATGGGTAAAAAGGTGCTCCTTGAATATAAATGTGGCCGTTTTACACAACTCTCCACAGCTGCACGAAGCTTTCGAAAACTAACATGGCTGACGATATGACGGGCATGAGCTCAGTTCCAAAGTGAGCTGAAGCGGGGCGCATGACTGACTTCCCAGCTGCAGAGATGAGACTGCGGCAACGCTTTCGTGTAGTCACCACCTCAGCCACTACAACACTAGCAATCAGACCACCAAAATCCGCGATACAGGGAACATCGATAGCAGAACAACAATGAAACATAGGATACCTTTAGTCACTGTAGTTTAGATTAGCTTTTTTGACTTTCAGAGATTCTCGCACTTGCTATTTTGTCACCTGACCAGTAATACGTTTATCTAGTAAAGAATAATATACTTACAAATGAGAATAAATGCGTATGCATGAGTTAACAGTCATCTCTCTAGAAGTCTTTGGTGTCGAGACTACTCATTCTGTCCGATATCGAATGTGTTTCGGGAACTCATACGATAGAAAATATCATTTTCGTCAAGTGGCTTTGGTTTTTTTCGTGTGACAGCAAAAAATGACAATACAAACAAAGGTCATTCGTTATAAGTAACATTATATATGCCGCGTGGCAGGGGTATTGGATTTTTGTGATGCTTGCTCGTCCTATTCGGAAATACGAGGCGCCCAACACAGCAATTTCCTTACACTCCTCTAGCTTTGAACCACTCTGCACGCAAGTTGTACAAACATCCCTGTTTAAAACCAATCATATTTCAGTGCTTACTCGACATACGGCCCATACAAATCATGCAGTAGATTTCACTCTCTTCATTTCACTGAAATAAGCCTTACGGTTACAACACGATCTGATAACAATGTTGCGCCGTTGATTTTATCAATGTAATTCATCGTTTCCTAGGGCAATACTCTTCTTGGCTACGTTCTATAATATAGAGAAACAGCACGAAACAATTCAATGAGTAAATTCCTGCACTTCATTTGCATATGCTAAATTTTTCGTACTTAACCTCACCTTGATACATTGAGATTTAAAATACCTAGAAACAGTTAGAAACTTACTATACCACAGTTACTCGAAAGAATTGATAGGAAATTATTTTTCCTTTCTTTATGCTTTTCTATTAGTTTCACAGACTTGTGATGCGAAAGACCGTAATTTAGTTTTCTCGTATTTTCCATGGTGTTTCGTCCTTTTTATTTTGCGATAACGTATACAAATACCCTGTATGACAACTCGAGGGGAATCGCATCGCAGTCTGCACGGAACGGGTCCGATTTACAGCTACGACGTCCAAATTTAGGTGGGGGTTAAATGCCCAAACGGCCGGTTACTTAGATTTACCTGAATGTTACATCTCGACTGGGTACACGACACAAAGGCAGTGTAAGTGCCAGTCACTTCGCCACCACATTTTAATACAGTAATACGTGCCCTAAATATTTGCTTTGATCATTCAGGTTACAAGGTACCCGTTCTAGTCATCTTTGTACATAATTTACATAAAAAATAACACTTTTCACAGAACGAACCAAGCATAGCATTGGTCGAATTCGAGTAATTTGATCTTTCATTCATAACTGCCGCTCAGGCTATGCTTTCAGAGGTATAATTTGATTGCTACATACTACATCTTAATTTACAAGTCACTGTCATGCCCAAAGGCTAAACTCCATTAAGAAAAAACAAGACGTGTGATATAAAGTGAAATTCCTATTTGGTGTACTGCTATATCGACTGTTAAAATAATAGGTTTCAAAGCTATGCTTTTAATTGACATTCTGTTATCGCCAAATTGTCTGTATAATGGATTACAGCGGTTTTTGCTACGCGAGATTTTTAACGCAGAAAGCAGATCATACACAAACATAAACATGATGCCAAAGTGCTTCATCATAGGTCAATTAAAACGACAGCTACATCCTCGCTGTCAGCATATTTTATGCCCAGCACGTAACTTTCAAGCACACTAACAGCTCAACCTATTGTAATGCTGTAATGTTCTGCCGCAGATTGAATGCTACCTATAGGTCGTGTGTTTTTGCCTGTGACGACGAGCGGATATTGGCACTGGCAGATAATGATCACGCACATCGCCTTAACTGTGCATTGCCTACCCAAAAACGCATTACTTATCCATGCAATAATAGGGTACGGCGTTGTTCTTAGCTGAGATATATCTTTTCACAATAAGTCGCCCGGATCGGTTTTAGCCACCGCTTCTCGACACTGCACACACGATGTATTGCTCATTCCTTTCAAGCGGCGGGTACTTAAAATGGTGGCGTTGTTTTTGAGCTGTAGGCAGCATAAAACGCATCCACATACCTAACTAAGCGACTGCTTTTGCATCACAAGTTAACAACCATCATCCCCTCGTTCTTTCATAGCGACCTCGAAAGATGCATCACTGGAACGTAAATCCGGTTAATTGCACATTTCGTTCTCGGAATCGTATGATGCGCTCGTGCTTAAATAAGAGCGTTTTTTAGAGTACTTTTTCCTGTAATGTCCTTCTGAATTATCCCGAGAAATTCGCGCATCCATCCATACGCTTCCTTCCGCATCGGTAACTTTATAAGCCTATCTTCCAGTACTAAAAGTGTAATTTAGAACGGTGCGTAACTTTTTACGACCGCACGCGTTTCACCAGAAATATCTAAGGGCAATTTTATGATACCTGCTTGAGGAAGACCCCATGAGCGCAAAAATCGCTGAGGTGTATACATTAGCGCAACGTGGTAACGCAAAATTGAGGTAAAAAGATATTCCCATTTAAAGTTAATTCAGAGCGTACATTTGCAGTGTGTCAGGTTTTTCAAGTTTTTCAGCTATGGCTTTTCAATTGAATGCTTTTTCGGCGAGCATTGCCTAAATTGAAAAATTAAGAACCTTTTAAGTGAAATGCTAACCGCAATAAATGAAGGTTGAAGCAGTCGCAGGCATTTTGCACTAACACCATTAAGCCGTGCCAGTTATCAAATAGGTGTGCGAATCCGCTGAAAGACCACAACCAGTAGGCGTAGGTAATACATTAATTCTCGATGAGTGTAAGGAAGGAAAATAGGAGGGAAAGAATGGGAGGGAGGTTAACCAGGCTATAGGCAGCCGGTTTGCTACCCTGCGCATGCGAGGGGATGGGGGAGATGAAAATAAAGAGCAGAGAGGGAAGATGGATGTAATATACGCAGTTAATATACCTGGTGCTTTTCGCAAACGAAGTGCACTACCTCCCTTACAATTGGCTTTACGATCCTATCTGCAAAGCGTTAGCAGTAGAGTAGAATCAAAAGACACTACCACCACTCACCACAAACTTGCGCTTCAAGCCAGGTTCTTGGCGAAAGTAGACCAGTGCGTCGCTGGGAAACCTCAGCAACGGCGAATGCACAAGCTCAATCTCCACCGGTTTCTCACAGTTCTCGTAAAGAGTCACTTTTTCCCGCGTCAGGGTGACACCGATCCAAGTCCAGCCGTGCGTCTTCTTCAGCGTCTTGGCCGAGGCCAGCTTGAACTTTACGTGCCTCACGTCGGCTGAGTTGAGGCGAAAGGTCTCGTCGGCGTCATCGGCCATTGGCTCAGCACCGTCCCCTTCACTGACGTCATCCGCCATGTCCAGGTCCCGTCTGTTGGTTGCTGTGTCGCCTCCCTCGTCTTCGTCTGACGCGGTGGTTACAAAGTCCGGCACAGTGTAAGACAGCACGAAGCGCCGGGTCCTGAAATTGACGGCGACCCTCACCAGGGGCGACATCTTGCCCGGTAGGTGAATGCTGAACAGTGTGGCCACGCTGTGGCGATTGGGCCTAGCGACGAAAATGGCTGAAAGTGCTCCGGTGCTGGCCAGCTGGTGTTGGAAGCTGGACTCCGGCTCCAGCGGAATCTGCACGGCGTTCAGACCGGAGAAGAGCTTCCACGCTGGTAGACTAGATATGGGACCCGTGGTGTGGCCCACTCCCTTGTGTAGTGTGCTGATGTTCAACTTCTTGAGGAGATCCAACTCTGCAATAACATGAGATTACTAGGTGCGGGGTTAAGTACAGCACAGCGTATAATAAACACGAGGAAAGTTTACACGCCATAAAGCAATCAAATTTATTGCCACATTTCAGAATACATTTCAGACGCAACAATATTCATAGATTTTATGATACTTTGTCGACGAACGGCACAAGCATTCTTAGCGTAATGTCGGTACTCTTGACAGTAACCCAGCGAGTGCAGTTTTGAAAAGCCAAATTCGAGTAATGTCACTATATGAGAAATAGTAGCAAAGAGTGTAAAGTTGCTCATAGTGCAGGCCTAGATTATATCCTGACAAACGCTATTATTCCTTCATTCCTTCTTCAATTCTTACTGTAACGGGATACATTCATGCATTATAAGTACGCTGAAGTATAGCTTTTATCAGAAATGCCAAATTTGTGCATCTGAAAACCTATTCGATATCCCCTGTCTGTTGTAATCATTTCCTTAAAAGCGCACACCTCATTGTTCATGAGACGAAAACAGCAGATAAACAACAACAAATACATAATTAAGAATAACTAAATACAGTGAGAAGGCACACAATCGCAAGAAGCAATGAGCGAATTCGATTTCCTAAAAAGCACTTCACAATTTTTTCAAACTGACACGTCATAAAAATTTCACAATCTATTTTGTTGGAAACATTGTAAACACGAACACAAAGCCTGATAACTGTACCAACATCATCATTCTTTCACCAGAGTGAAGACCATTACGTTCGCGTAATTTATCATCTCTTTTTTAACTAAATAATATTAAGTTACTATTTTGCTATACAGTGTTGTAGGTTGCTATAACTTGTATTCATTCTAAATCGAATAATTTGTATATAATGGTAAATATTTTACAGCGTGCATAGAATAAACTAAACCTTTAAGTTGATGTTATACGATGCATGCGCTTAATATGAGCAATTTCATTATTACTACCTGCCGCAATGATCCTGCAATTGCGTTGCTTCACCACTGAGCTGACCATCGTAAGACTGAATCACAGCCGCATTTTCGAAAAAAGACACAATGACAGGGGCAAGTTTGCGCAGTTTTATACGTACGTCAAGAAAAACATAAAAAAATCTGAGGTAGACATTTATCGAGCATTGCACTAGTATCTGTAGTGTGGTTCTGCGAGGTAAAACGTTAACAGTAAATATCATCATTATGTCTATGTTCCTATGCTCCTGGCTACTCAGCTACTCCAACGCGCATGAACGCAATTGCATTACTATTATTTACTATAACTGCCCACAGAGTGCTACGGAACCTTTTATGCGAGAAAAGAACGAATGGAGTGATTGAACAAGATCTAATAGGCATAGTTCCGATGCGCCAGGTTCGAGGAAAACTCTGACCGCTGCTTCTCAGTGTGCATTCATCACGTTTCATTTGCGTAGCACCGCGCAATGCAAACTATTCCTGGGCACCTCCTTCAAGTACGTCTTCCCTGTGAAGGCTCAGTTGGCGTATGATAGCACGCTCGACCATCGACAATACCACGAACTCAAATAGCAGCTCCGCTAGTTAGGATCTGAAATATTTTGCGTCGCAGAGCAGGGATTCCGCGCTCACAAAAAGGGTTGTGAACGAGGCACATCCTTTGCGGTGTGACGATGAAGCTTCCCGAGTGTTATCGAACGCGATCGACAGACGCTGGCGCGAAACAGTGAAGGTTCAGAAACTGAGTAGTCACGTACCGACCGTGCCCGGCGGCACCTTGCTGCTGAAAGCGTCGCCAGCATTGGCCAAGGTGACGGTGGTCGGTGCCAAGTTGAACAGAAAGGCCACCAGAAATTGACTTAACCACAACATCGCGACGCACTGAAATAGGTACACGTTCACAGAAAAAGACGCACTGCCATGTGGGCGGCTCGATTTTCGAAACAAGTCCAAGTCCCGCACGTCGTAAACACAGCGGTAGGAGCGCCGACTGCGTCTCTACCAAACCACCTACGCACAGACTTGGTTTAAACGCGACTGAAAGAAGCACGCGTACGCCCAGCCGGCTTGACAACAACCGGGTTTGTCTCCGGCGAGCGCCCCAGAGCGTTAATGATGGAAAGCGTGCGCTGTTGGCTCAAGTGCGGCGGCTCCCGCGTCGCTGGGTAGCGTGGCTCGGTCCTCGCTGCATCCATACATGTCGGCAACGCAGTGTGGACGACGACATCCTTCGTCCGATGCCGTTCGTAACTTCACAACGCAGTCGACGTACGCCGTAACCAAGTGAACGAGAAATCCGGGAACAGCAACGGAGAGTACGAGGCCACCCGCCACCACAAACCGGCTGCCCGCACCGAATCGCCGCCGCTGCCCAACGACAACAAACCCCTCGCTTCGCTTTCCTTCGCCGCCGCGCGGTGCGCTCGAAGCGAACAAGACCAACAAAACTCCTCCCGGGACGCCTCGACGCGCCTGCGCATGGGTGCGCCGGCTGGCCCGACCGCAGCGCTGGTCGATGAAAACGGAGGGCGCCAAAAGTAGGGCTCGCGAACCACGCTTTTTTAGAGATAGTCCCCGTCCGGCGGCTTCCGAGATGACCAGCGAAGGGGAATGAATAGAAACCGCTTGTCGCACTTGCCACTGGGTGTCTACCGTGATCGGGGAGTTTTCGACAAATGTAATCTCAGAAAACTCCCGCGTTGTGCTTCGTTCAGTGTGACGGGGGAAACTGGGATTGTACGATCACTGCAGACCCATAGGCAGGCATCTTTATACAGTGGAAGGAATGCATTTCTTCCGCCGAGAGTACAGAGCGTAGTAACTTTAATCACGTTTGTCCTTTCAGCCGTCGAATTTATATTTCTGTCAGAAACAACCTTAGCACGTATTTTACTAATAGTTAGGGGTTCAGAAGACCACACCCTAAAATTTATTCAGTATAGTGTAAGTATTTATAAAGTTAAAGTCATCTCATCAAATAAGATCATCATAGCCCTATAGTTACGAATTGAGGAGAATGGAAAATTTATTTCTGCTATGCCCTAGAGTGTTCAACTGAACAAACGCAGTATATGAAGGTGTTGATGCTCTTGAAATAACTTCAGGTCTTCAATCCCAAAGTGCCGCTCTCCCGCCTATGCTTGACCGCGTCATCGCCACCATTGACCTCGGTCCAGATTCCTATCTACGGCTCGGTGTTCAGGAAAAATGAAGCAACGGTAGTGTGGATCGCAGCGGGAATAGTTGAAAAAAAAAAAAACCTCTCCAAGAATGAGCTGTTTTGTTTTTATTTTTCTGGTTCTAGGAGAAATATTCTAAGGTGTCGTCAATTGACGACACCAGTGCCTAAATTGTTTAAATGACAAAACGAGGGTTTCTGCCGTAACCATTTATTTACGCATTCATCAGCTCCTGTTTGCACTGTCATTGTACTTGACGGCCATAATTTCAGCACTTTGGTCCCTAAAGTGTCCAGTCAAAGGGTCTTTGTGACGCGTGCCCACGTCACAGTATCGGGTAAAGGCTAGATCAATGCAACTTCCGTGAATGGTAGTTGGACGATTGTTGATCGAGGCGGCGGCATACTGCTTAGAGTACTTTGTCCGCATGTACTCCACCAACCGCTTGCCGCTTTTCTTTCTCACGCCCACGTTAAATTCACCAACCAAGATGACGGTGTCAGATACTTTGAAACGTACACACACACACTTTTCATAGCCGCATCTACTTGCGCGACAATGTCCTCACGAGCGATATTGGGCGCGAAGTACACGGTCACCACAAAGACTCCGTCTCCGGTGTAGGCAAGGGTGTATAAGTCATTGTACGGAGACGTATCTAGAACGCGTAAGGTGGCAACGGCATGCGATATCAAGTTCCCATACTTGTTAGCAACGAGATTAACGCCGCAGCATTCGCCGTCCTTGCCGCTTCCAGCAAAGTTGTACTCGTTGACGGTGCCATCACCACCATTGCCACACAGACCACCACTGACAATAGGGCAGACGCGGTGATTGAGGATGGGAAGCGAGGAGTGCCGTTGCTGGGGCAGTTCTTCGTTGGAGGGGAGGTATCGCTTGTAGAACACGTTCCCACCGCCCACTCGGCAAGTAGACGTGTTCACTAGCAGTACAAACGCTACAAACGCATTTCAATGTCACTGCAATCAGGCGGTGGTCAGTCATGTTCAAGTCGAGGTGTGGGTTCCAGTTGCCAGGGGCGAGGCTTAGCGCGCGCACCCGCCGCTGGTGCTTGCAGCTGCCGACGCCGAAGCATGACATGGTGGGGGCTCCGGTTGCTAGGGACGCGCGCGCCTGCAGCTGCTGATATAGGAGAGGGTAGTTGACGGATCCCAATGGATTCCTGACATAGCACGCCTAAGAAATGCATTTAAATTAAAATAACATCCCTTGTCACCTCTTTTCGGTAAACAACCTCCCTATATTAAAATCCCAGGGGTGTTGGAGGTACTTCTGGCGCACACCTCACACCTAAAGGCCTGATGGCTGCACTTGAAACCAATCAGAGTGGCTGTCAAGGCGGCGAATACGTCAGTTTGATGGAATAAGACATTGCAAAGAAAATAAACTTGGGCAGCCGAACATTTCTCATATTTTATTGTCATTCTTTGAGGCTCAAGCATTCTCACGGTGCAATTTATTTGCCACTTTCTCAATATTTCTTAGTTCATTTTTTACAGCTTGAACGTTCCTGGCGTGCTTATTTTCCTGCCAGCTCTGTATTATTTTTTTCACTCAGTGACATTTCCTCCCAGGTAATGACTTACTGATTTTAACAGTATTATTCTTAACTTCATGCTTCGATAAAGACACATGGGTTCTCCTAAAACGGCGTCAGGATCGGAACAAATATAAAAGGAATAGACGAAATGAGTCCGACCGGAATTAATATTATTCAGGGAATATATTTAGAAACTACAAAATGTTTTAATATAATGAATTGATTACTTATGAACCGTTAATGACACGACAAGCACATTTGTAGTATTTTCGTAGAATCAACAGCATTCAACAGCTTTTTATTGTTTAAATTTTGACCCGTACTGTATAAGTTTTTCTTATACTGTATAAAGTTTTTCTATACTGTATAAGTTTTTCTTAAACTGTATAAAGTTTTATTTGAATTCCTTTAAACTTGAAATTTCAAGATCACATGTATCACGTATAAAAGAAAATGGCACACACAATTGCCGTTGTATTTAAACCTTGTGCCTACACTGCAGGTGACATAATTCTCACTATAAAACTGATTCATTCAATCTCATCTGACCGGATAACATGCAGGGGTCACATTCAATGCACTCACTTGGCATTCCTCCAAGTAACCCATAAACAGTTTCTCACAATTATTGCAAGAAGTTCATTCTTTGCTGCTAGAAAGCCCCGATTACATGAAAACATCGTAAGCACTTCAGATCTAATAAATTATATTTGATGAATATTATTATCACAGGTAAAACTGAGAAAGTACTATCGGTCACCGCCTTACCTTCTCGCCTGATGTCTCGCAGTGGTACTGCACTTGGTGCAATAGTCTTATCCTTTCACATACAGTGTGGACTAGCTACGTAATTTTTCGATATATCACTTACGAGTGCTCCCAATTGAAATCAAATATATGTTGCTATTTCTACTTAATTAATAAAGAAATAAATTCACGCGTAATGCATACTTTGTAATATTGCATTTATTTTACTTTTTTGTACTATTACAAAAACATTCCTTATTTATCTTATGTTAGGATTGTGTTTTGTTACTATTCATATCTGCTAGCTGTGCCATTGTTGCTTTAAACAATATGCAACTTCAAATTTTCATGAATACGAGGTTCCCATGCAATATTTCGCCTCTTTTATGCACTGCCCCTTTGTAATATTTCAGCATTACTAACAATAAATTCATATCCTGAAATCTAAACGGGGCTAATATTTTTCAATAATAGCGAAAGTTGGGCTAGTGGGTGGTTCATGCTTGGGATGTAAAAATAACGCAATAAATATACACTAATATTTTTCGTTGATAAAATTTAGCGGGAAGTGATTCGCCATTCATTTCATCAAACAAACATACTCTAGGTGCATGGCGCGCTTGTTGGTTATCTATATTATCCAACGTGTAGCGCATTCAATATGCGCTACACGTTGCGCTACGTGACAGAACAGAAGTAACATTGCATAGAACAATACATCTTAGCTGGTGTTTGTATTTTGTGGCTTCTGCTCTGTCCTGTCCTGGATGCGCTGTACATCGGAAAGAAACATATGACGCGAAAAGATATTCAAGCCAAGTAAAATATAGAGAATTCTATTTATAATCTTTGATTTAAGTGCACTGCAATAAATTGATAAAAAATTGAATTAACAGGGTGCAAGAAAAAATTGTAACTGTAAAAAAAGAAACTAATTGTACTGTAGACCCACGCGTAACCAATTTATTGAATGTCGATCTAAAAGCAACCAATTATTACCTGTATTAAAAAACAAATATTATGGTTCTGTGGCAGTACACCTGCTTGCCACGCGATGGCCGAGCTTCCATTCTAACTAGTGCCAGAAAACTTTCTTAATTATGCTTGCATCTTTCTAGATTTTTCGGTCGTGAAGAAGATGATGAATTTTCGCTAAAAAGTAACTACGCTAACACCGACACTGACACCACAATTACTGTGAAAAGAGCTATAGTTATCGCTATCGTTTTACAATATAATCAAAACAAGTATTGTCGATGGGCTCCTGCACTAACATCAGCAAAATAATTTTGATGTGGACCTGGATAACATTTATGCGGCAATAAGAGGCAGCATGCAAAGAGCAAAAAAGACGAGTCATAGTGAATCACTTTCTTGAATCGGGCATTATCACAGGCGTACTACTGTGAATGTACAGAGATCATCACAGAGGTAGGAAAAAATATTTGAAGATATTTGCAGACTTCCTTGGTTTATAGTCAGAATTGACTCATATCATGGGAAAAATGAACTGCACGAACGCTGCGCACTGTTTGGGGATTGAGGTTTCCATAAAGTGGGTATAAGGTATCACTGCAACGTATGCGTTTATATAACATGGCCATCGTTTTGTGGATGCTGTCGCATTTTGGTATCAAGTTTCTCTCCCTCTCTCTGAGTGTGAATTGTACACGTAATTTAATATTAGGTGCTCTTCAAAACTATATGAAGGGACCATCAGTATCACCCCTCAACTGTAGTTGTTGATAGCGCTATTCCCTCCAGTGATGATTTTATTGATTAACAACACTGAGCTAAATATTTTTATTTATTTATCTATAACCCTCGGCAAGAGCTAGAGACAATATTTCGCTTTCTGTATATGGTGAAGACAAGACCACTTCAACATATTTTGAAAAACGTTAGTTTACAAATGAAGCAAAATCATGTAGTTT